AAGCCTTGTCATTCAGTCCTAATCAGCAAATGTCCATTAAGAGTTACCAGAAATAATAACATATATATTTAACCTTAAATAAATCAGTTTTATATTCCTTTGCTTTTAACAGAGTAACTTATCACTTTCTCTAAAAATACAGCAAAAAAATCTCTTCCCATTTCTTATCTATAAACAAATCCTAGTCAAAAAAAGTCCATTAAGAACTAACAGAAACAACAACATATATATTTTAACTTTGATCAAATAAACCCACTTTATATTCCTTCCCTTTATTTTTAAGAATCTTTAATCCCTTCAAATAGCGTCCCACAAGTTGATTTCTTAGTGCATTGTCTCCTCTCAGAAACTCCTTCATAAGTTTAACATGTCTCTTTTGTAAATCCAAGATAAGAAAGCTATCCAAGTCACTCTTCTGATTTGTTATTTGTATGTCCCCTTTAACTATTAAGAGATCAGTTGGTTTCATTTGTAGATCCAGTGTAACATCGTTTTCCATATCATTCTTGTAAATCAATTCTCAGATCCACATTCAAATCAGCCTCAGTCTCTATTCTATGCAGTAAAATATTGCTCCATTCTGTATTACTGGGTCTCTTCTTTAAATATAATCTTTCTAATCCTTAAATTATAATTATAATTTAATTATAATCTTTATAATCTAACCTAGTCAACCTTCAAAGTCCCCTCTTATCATGTTGTTGGGTTTTTTCCCCCAATCAACAACACTTTCCCATGGGAAGATTTCTTACAGTTACTGTAGTTTCAAAATCTTCATATATATTTTTTGTAAAATTTTAAACAACCCACAGGAAATATTCTTGTAATTAATTTCAAAAACTTATTTCAAGTCCATCTGGCCCCTTAATCTGTTTATAACTTTCCAAAATCAACATTCTACTCACCCTTTTGCTGCTTATTCAAAAAAATAATTTTTTTTTTAAGTCCTTAAACTTGCATGAAACTTCTTTCATCCAGGATGGAAGGAAGTTCTCCCAGCATAATGAAACTTGCCCTTCTGCAGGTTCTGAATATCCAAACAACCATTAACAAGCAATTTCCAAAAGTGGTTAAGAAAGGAAGTATGCAAACCCAGTGTCCGTTTGAAGGCGCCGAACTGTGGCTTAGGTGAGATGACTTTCCCCCAGCTCCCAGAGCTCTAAAACCCACCAGAGACCCGGGCAGCCACTGTATGGAGCACTTCTAGGCAATCCTGGTCCTTTCCTTACTCTGGAGAGGAATTCTGAGCAGCCAATCCATTCACTGGCTCCTATTTCCATCATAGCCGTCAGCTCCACGTCTTCAGTCTGCCATTGCTTCCCTGGAAGGCTGTCCATTCTTACTTACTGTTCATGGTGTACCATTTCATAGCACTTTAGTTTGGCCAAGAGTTATCTGCTTTGGTTATCATGCAGATCCACCAGTCTACTCTCACCCTTCAGTCTGCATGCATTGATACCTTTGTATCTTTCTGGCAGTATACTATATGTCCTGTACACTGTAATCTGTGATAGACTGTGTGCATATTGCTTTAGAGTTTATGTATTAGCAAAATACCATATGGTGTAGGGACCATTACCATGTTAAAAGCAGATATTAGTTTGCTTCCTCAACTTTGGACAATCCACTGGTTTGTACATTTCAGATTGTGCCTTGGCTTGGTCAGAAAGAACATTGGAGCTTCTGAAAGAAATGTAGCTATCATTTTTGAAAATACGCCAAAGGAACTTTCTTGGGACAAAATATCTCAGTATTCATTTCAAAATCCATTGGGCACATGGAATATTCCATTCCCAAATGAAGAGTTAATCCACATGTAGTAGTATGCCATGTGTACATCTCTATACTTCTGGAGATGGTGTCACAAAGCTTATGGTACACATTTCTGTTTTACATGCCTTTCTGCATATCTGCAGCATGATTGGCATAAAGGATTGAAAATGTCTTGCCTCCAACCAAAATATTGACCAAAGATAAAGCTATAGCTTTGTAGAGGACATTCTCCTGGAAGTTAGGGTGGCCAGAGCTGTGCACAGAAGAAAAGAATAATGCCATTCTTTTCAATAAAATGATTAAATAGGACAACCAACAATAAAACCATCTGATGTAAAACAAGACAAGAAAAAGCAATAAATGTGCTATGTATAACTGTAGAACAGCTAAAGCAAAGTTTTAGCAAGATTAAAGCAAAGCCTTTGAAAGGCTTTCTAATCCAGTAATGTTACTTTGGAAATGCTCAGGGGAACAAATGTATGCAA